AAAAGAATAATTAAAACAAAAAAAAAAAAAAAAAGACAAATTTGAGCACTTTACTGATGAGCAGTTGAGCCGTGGGCCAAAATACCTGCTTGTTCTTTTTTTTCTTTTTTTTTTAAATAGTTATTCTATTGGACCACAATTCAAAATCAATGTCATGATTTTCATAGAATTTTTATTTATTATTACCTTTGTCAATTTCAACATATTTCACTAATGTGAGGGTATGAATAAATTTGAGCACAACTGTAGGAGAAAAGTGTAAGAGCTGATATACATAACAATATAAAGGATTCCATGACTCTGTTAAGACACTGTGGTGCACAGAACCCACCAAAAGAGTCCAAAAAAAAACCCTGAAAAGACTGAATCTATTCTAAAATGATGCATAAAACATCTTGCCATTGCTGTAAGTCTAACTTTGCATAGATGTGAGATTTCTTCCCTGCTTTTAAAACCACATTTGACTAAAACAACCCAATTTACCTCAAATTACAAACATGACATCAAGAGACTGACTGACCAATATTCCTCATTTCCTCTGTGCTGCATGAACACCACATTAACTCACATATTCCGCCTGTGTGCATGAATAAATTATCAACTCGTGCCTACCTTTCCAGAGGATTAGCAAATTTAATAAATAAATTGGACTCAAACTTCTATTTTTGGCACTTGGGTTGGATCTTTTGATGCAAAAGTAATTACGTGTTTACATAGCTGATTGCTCCTGTTTAGAAAGCTCTGACGACGTTACCTAGCAACCGATCTACACGTTAGGGGTCAGCCTGTGAGCTTTTTTCAGAGTGATGCTGATTATTAGTAGTCACGGAGACAAGAGCTATATTATTATATATGAAACCGATATGTATTTACAGTGACACTAAAAGTCCGGAAATGTTTTAGTGTACTTATGTTTGACATGTTTAATGAAAAGAAAACTTTCCAGCATTTATCCGGCAGTGTTGATCGGCTGTTGCTGGTAATCAGGCAGCGCTGTGGGCGGGACGTTGATATAAATGTGGCAGATAGAGTGAAGCAAATGCATTAGAGCCAAAGTGGCACACTTTTACATTAATTTATTCCAACAGGAATCTGTTTTTTATATAAGCAAGGAAAACAGACCAACACAAATAATCAGAAAAAATGCTGAATATCGGATTCGATCATCAGCCCAACTGAAAATGTGACTCGTCTTTGCTCCCTGAGACATTTCTTCAATTATGATGATGCAACCTGATCCCAAAATTTAGGAAAAAGCTGACGCATAAACCCAGTAATGGTTTAGCAAATGTGTGATGCAGCCACATCCAGTATAGTCCTGCTTCATAATTATTAATGCACATAAATCTCAGTTTAAAACAGGATTTGCATCTGAAATCTGAAATAATTTGAGAAAGTTTGCTGTGTGTCTACTGTAAGGAAAGCTGCTGTAGTATTTTCTGACAGCATGTTTAGCAGGATTTTGCCTTTTTTCATCCTATACTTTCAAGACAAAATCAAAAATCTGACTGATGATTTCAGGTTTAGACTTAGATAAACTTTACTGATCCACAAGGGAAATTGTTTTATCACAATAGCACAAAATAAAATAAATAATTATGTAAGAATGTACAAAAAAATAAAAATAAGAAGTAAAAAAGCAAGCAGGAAAAAAAGAATACAATACAAAGATTTCCATATTTAATTTACAATTTACAGTCTTACAGGTTTTTTGTTTTTGGGGGGTTTTTTGTCTTTTATTTTCCAAGTAAGGAGGTAAAAGCATGTTTCCTGCTGATTTCCAACATCAGAATTGAAACCATGTAGCATATTTGCTTCATACTAACATGCTCTATTCCCTTTGTTTTCTATTTTGATTAAAGGAATGCAAGCCAAAGCAGTGGAGACAAACCATAGAAAGGAGGAGGGACACGCTGTCCATCAAGGAAGTACGGGAAGATGACATTGGGAATTACACCTGTGAACTGCCGTTTGGGAACTTTGTGGTACGAAGGACGACTGAGCTGTCCGTCACAGGTAAAGCAACATCCTACATTACTTCTCCTGCAGGTTCCTCGACTGCACAATCATCTGTTGAGCTGTTTTATTCTTTGGCATTTACCGAATAAGAGCCTGAAATCCTGCAGCAAAAAAAAAGGGAAGCGCACAATGAAGGCATCTATGCAAATGTACTTTTATTCAATGCATTTCTAAACAAAAGCAACTCCACCAAGTGGCCTCATTGTTGCTTCCGCGCACGGCGTCTGGCGATTGTTTTACTTACTGATTTATTTTTTTTTCTTAACATAGCAATTTGCTAAATAAAAACAGTTGCTTCAGGTTGCTTCTGAAAACCGATCGCGGCACCTTTTGCCAAAGTGTCGCAGTCAATAGAGTCGCTGTCTGTGTGACTTCGAGGCTGCTTTAATTGCTAAGTAGTGGAATTCACACAGAGCCACTTCAGCACTTTTTCTTAAGGCTGTTGAAATATTTAAGCCCTGAAAGTAAAGTGGGTGACAGATTGCTTGTCACGGACACTGTCACAGCCAAGGGTGACACAGCAGTGCCTGTGGATAGGGAGAACCCCCGAATTTACAACTTAATTACACGCATCTCTGTGTTTTTTAAGCGTACAGTATGTGTTTGGAATTAGTTCTGGTAGTTTGCGATCAATAAACAGCTTCTTTAGATTTTTTTCTTTTATTCTATTTTAACAGCTTTATTACTTGTATGCTGTTTTTAAGGTTTCCTCTTCCACGCTTTGAACATAATGAATCTTCCGGGACATAATATCACTTGCTGGATTTCAAATGGTCCTGCATCACTGATCTGCCCCGGCATAAAACGTTCATTTAAAAAAAACGCAGAGTTTTTTTTTTCTTTTGAGCGAAAGTGTTCCTGTGCTTTGTGCAATTTCACACAACCACAGCTTCTCCTCCGTGTGACTCATTTGCCTGAGCTGTGGTAGCTCATGTCTGCAAGGATACAAACAAATGCCGGATGACGCAGACTAAAGCAAAAAAAAAAAAAAAAAAGGAGAGAGAGAGAGAAGTTTGGGATGGCTAGAGGAGCTGTTTGGCTGTCGTCACCGCCGCCATCGCCGCGGTGTGACGGTCAGCGGCGCTTGCTGCTAACTGCTACTTGATTACACTTTGTGGCACCTTTAAAGAGACAAAGACAGACTCCAGCGAAGGCCGAACAAAAGCCATAAATCATTTTCTCACCAGCCTCAAAATGTCATCCTGGGAGAATAGTCTTAATCTCTCTATCTACTTTGGAGACATTCAGCATTTCAAAACAGGTAGCAAAAGATGATTGATGATTGGGCCGTGGCAGTAGAAGCGGCATTTATGATTGTTTAGAAAGAAATATACCCTTCACTTGATGTCTCTGTGGGTTTTCTCCCACATTCAGCCTGACTGGAGGTGTGAAGGTGTCTCTTTTCATTCTTCTGATAGACTGTCCAGAGCGTAGCCTGGTTTTTCGTCCAGTGAATGTAGGGTTCACTCCAGACCTGGCAAATGGAACAAAAAAAAATCAGGAACATACATCCTGTTTCGCTTTTTCTTTTTGGCACAGTTTCCTCAATCAGTCCTGTGTTTTACAACATTTCGAGCAGAAAATGTCAAACTCCAGAGTAGGTCACGAGCTGTACCCTTTCTCGGATGCAGAAATGCAAATAAACAGTTTCACCCCAACCTGACTTTTACTGTAAGTTACGAGATGCAATTTTGCCCCAAGGCAACAAAGTGTAATACAAGTTCTCATTGTTCTTTCTGAACTTGGAGGGCTTTTTATCTTTTCGAAAGCAATGCCAACATTCACTCTGCTTTTGGCTTGGTTGCTTTCCCTTTTCGGCAGAATTGCTTCCCTCCGAGTTTTTGGGTTTATTTATTTATTTGCTGCTTCTGATTGAAGAAGTTTTGAGTTTGCGTATGGAGTGTTTTCTTTTGTGCAGCCATGGTGGCTGTTCCAATCATGCTAACTACCCAGTTCTTTTTGATCTACCTTCTTCGTCTGTCTGCTGTCACTGCTTCAGTGCACATGAAACGCATCGCATCCTATAAGGAAGCGAATTTTGTTCTTGGAAAGAACTCCTGTGCACAGTGTTTAGACAAGTAAATGTAGAAACTTTCATGATTTGGGTGAACCGCTTCTTCACTCCATGAGCCTTGAACTTTCATGCCATCGTCATCAAAGGATAATTAATGTTGAACACTTTTTTTGACACATCCACTGGCTTCTTATTGAATCCGTGTCCTCCGCTGGTTTTATTATTCATTAATTTCGTTAGAAAAACACCCAAGTTTGTCTAATTTTCTCAATTAATCACGTTAACAAGCATTCTAGGGTTCAATTGTTTAGGAAATTGTCAGCCATTTATCCCCATTATATTCCCATCTAGTAGACTGGTGGAAAGAAGTATGAAATTGAACAAAAGTAACAACACGGCATCACAATTGAGCCAAACAAACTGATCTCCTGACTTAAGACAGAAAAGGCAAGTGTGCAAAAGTAACCCATTACCCATGATGTGTTATATACCTTTTTCAGCTTTTAGCAAGAAATTCACATAAAACCTTGAACTTCCCGCAAAACCTGAACTTTAGAAGTCCCTCTGTGGTCATTGATTAACCCTCTGAACCCTGAAGTAGAAAAGACTCCGAACTGTCTTTTGTGCAGGATGACTCAGTTACAATACCACAATTTGAAGCTGAATTTCTTTGATTGTATGTTTTTCAAAAAATGAAATATACAAAACCTGGACTCAGCCTGTCCAAGTGCTGATAGGTTTTCCCTTTACTGGAATAAAACGACATATAAGTCCACATACTCTAGATATTTTACTACTTACAGTTTTGAGCGCAGACTTGTTGAATGTGGTTCGAGGTTTTTGGGTGATTTCGCCACATATATTCAAAGCGGAAATTGATTCTGAAGAAGAATAGTGATGCACCTGTAAGTTAACAGGATTGATTTGTTTTGTATGAAACCCTTTTTGAGACGATCGTTAGTTTTAAGGCAGAGATGCTCAGCTGCTGAGTGCTTGTTTTGGTCACGGTGTGTCTTTCAACACATAAAAAAAGCACCATATGGATATTTTAAGATCGTTATAAAAATAAATAAATCATCAGAGAGGCTCTCTAAGAACAATATGAGGCTTTGATGAAAGTTTCATCCCACGTTCCACTGAACTTTAAAAATAAAATGCTGCATTTTGGATATATGCCAGAAAGGCAACAGTAGGACTGTTTATGCTGTTTCCATGTGTTGTTTGGTCGGCAATAGAAGTCCGCAGCGGTGGGACTGGCAACAGTGTAAGAAGTGTGGTTTATATTGCCGATGCTGCTTGGGCCAGCACAAGCCAGCGGTGTCCAGCTGTGTTAAATCACGCTGTAGCGTTTCAGTTAGCGCCACTGTGTGCTTTGTGATTCTTTGTTTTCGTGCAATTGTCGTTTCTTCTCTCCCATATTCCCCTGCGCTGTTTGGCTGTTTGGCTGTGCAGTTTATCCTCATTTCTGTCAATCATGAGGAATCTTCTGGTACGCCAACCAAAGACTCCAGCTTGCTCTAAATGGCCTCTTTTCCAAAAAAGCTAAAGAGAACCTGGACGTCTCTTTTCATAGGATATTGGTTGTTTTGGGGAAAACAGGTGACGTTGTAGCGTGTTGGTTACAGTTGCCTTGATTCATTTTTGTTGGTTGTGGCTCAGGTGGTGGAGCGGTTTGTCGTCTGAGCGCAAGGTTGGCGGTTCGATCCCCTGCCCCTCCACAGTTGAAGTGTCCTTGGGCAAGACAATGAACCCAAAGTTCCTCAATATGGCAGGCATTGGTGTATGAATGTGTATCTGCTCTAGAAACTTGTAAATAAGGTGGAAAACAGTGGCTACCTGACCTTTGCATACATTCTTTTTAAATCTGGAATAAGTATACATGATTCTTTATGTAATATCATCATCAACCTCCCACAGATAGTCCCAGTTCACCGTTACAGCCCCTGCCACTTGCCTCTTTATCAACAGCCTACAGGCCCTCTTAAAGCAGTGCAATGGGACAAAAGGTCAGATTCCATTTGATTATAATGAGCACAGCTAAAATCATAATGAGCTCCCTCACCGGGTGATTGGAAGCGACATTAATTTTTAAATGAAATTTGCGGTTTTACGACTTCTTTGTAAGGTGCACCGTTTGATGTCTTAGATTAAACGCCGCCGAATAAAGGGACGGTGATGAGATAGATATACAGGGGAGCAACAACTTTGGTGTGTAAAATAGACTGTCAGTGTAGCTAATGAGCTGGGACTGATGCTCTTAACCTGCTTTTCTTATTTTTGAACCAGCACGCAATGAAGTGTGTTTGGTTGAAGGGGAAAGATGGGGTGTGCTTAGCAGCGCCGGCATGCAAATAACCGAAAAGCCTGAGAGGTTGAAAACAATCACGAGAATGTCTCTCAGCATAAAGTGTTCCTGCCTCCCTCCTTAAAGTGACTCAACCCATATTTTACATGTCTTTAAAGCCTGAGCATTTTGAATTGACAGATCTGATACTCTGGTAGCTTTGTGGCTTCAAGCAATTCTTGATGCAACACTTGTTTCGACAGTCTTTCAGTCTGCCACATTCAAAACCAATTTCTCTTTGGTGAACAACAGTTTCTTGCTAGATAGAGTCATGCTATTTCAGTGTCTTGCTTACTATTGAATACTGTTGCACAGACTGCTTGGAAATAAAAAAGAACTGCCTCCTCAGCCCAGCTCTTGGATGATGGGATCCTTTCCCTTGATATGTGTTTTCTGTGGTGCATTTATAAGCGAGGGGCTACTTTCTGCAAATGTAGACAATGAAGTATATCAGAAGTACAAGTTAAGAACATGGATATCAAGTTGAGAACAAGACTGTTCGTTGCATGCAAACAGCTTCTTTTGGAACGTGGCCAAACCCAAGAATTGTCTGCTAAATTGTTTGCCAAATACAATAAAGAAGGAGCAAATCACTGTAAACATCTATTATCTTAAATATGGATGCTTATATTCATGTCG